TTATTATTTAATAAGCAAGTATATTAGCTAATGTTGTTAAACGGCTAACTCAATATTTTCGCCAGAAAAATATTGACTAAGCCTCGAAATTTCGATACTATATGTCTAGACCTTTGCTCCTTCTATGAGCAAAATTTTCAGGCTTGCATAATATTTTTCTGGATAAAACAGTGAGTTAGCCGTTTTTAAAAATCGGCTCAAATTTTTTCATATTCTAAACAGATATTTTGTATATTACAAATTGATACTATAAAAAATTTGTGTAAATAATATTTTGAGAATATACTAAGTATTTATAAGAAAAATAAAAATGATATTTTAATTAATAAAAAATATGCATATATTATATAATAATCTTTGCGTATTTATTCCATGGCAGGAAAATTATAATTTTATTATTTAATAGATACTAGAGTGTTAGCTAGTGTTAACTTTCACCAAACATTATATTAATCATAACTATATATAATCATTATAACCATATCTAATTGACGAATATAATAATTTATGTTGTATAAATTTTTTTTAAAAATACGGCCCGGCCCGGGTATTTTTAAAAAAAAATTTTCAGGCCCGGCCCGGGTATATTTTAATAATTTAAAATACGGCCCGGCCTTAGTATCCGGACCGGGCCTTGCCGGGACAGGCCGGACTTAGGGCCGGGCCTGCAAGTCTCTGATAAAAATAATGTACTTATTTTTTGGTGAGTTATACAAAATAATCAGCATGGAGAATAGAGCAATCGTGGATCTGACAAAAGGCAATTTTAAAAAGTAAGATACTTAAAAATTGATATATTAATTTTGTTAAATACTAAAAATAATGTACTTTGGATATTTTTCTGTTAGTTAGACAAAATATTTATCAGCGATAAAGGGGCATATTGTGCGGCCCGACAAAATGGATAGCTTTAAAAATACGTAGGATGTTTAAAATAGATATATAAATTTATTTAAATTATAAAAAATATCATACTAAGTATTGTAAATGGAAAGAAAATAGGGAAATTAAAAGGGAAAGGAAGCTAAAGAGAAAGAAATAGGAAATTAAAAAGTTTAAGAAAGGTGAAGATAATAAAAGAAATTAAAAGGGAAGGAAAGGAAAATAGAATAGTTTTTTTAAATTTTTTATCAGGCTGATTTTTCACATATTATTTGAGACTATTGTTAAAATAATTAATGTTAGTGACATCTTCAATAATGATATTTATATGTTGTCGGCGTAGCATAATAGCCAGTCTACATTTTGTAGGTTACTGGTATTTGTGATGCCACATTGAAAATGGGGGGGGGGCATCCTTGCTTTATACCACATTTTTGTTTATAATCTTTTGTGTTTTAAACAATTTTCATAAATATTTATAATAATTTTGAATGTGTGTAGCTGGAATGGGAAAGTTTAAATTATTGATGTTATACTTTTTGTAAACTAAGGGTGTATGATGATTGTTTGATTTGTAAAAACTCATTTTTATAAATTAAAAATATTATTTACCCTTATTTTGTTTTTCTTTTCAAAATAAATATGGGCTGAATTAATAATTGAATGATATATATTTTTTGATATCAACCTTTGTAAAAACTCATTTTAATAAATAAAATATAATAATTTACCAGGATAATAGTTGCTTAATCAGCATCTGTACAATCATTAAGAGAGATTAAGACAGGGCTTGTTATCTAAAATAAAAACATAAGAATAATTTTAAAAATATTAATGTATTAAACCTGAAGAGGAATCAATATTAGGTTCAACTCTCTAGAAAGAATGGGATTATCATCAGAAGCTAAAATTGATGTATTCTAAATGTAAAAAAAATATAAGAATTTATAATATAATTTACTTGAAAGAATTGAATGATATTTATTTTTTGTTATTAGCCCTTGTAAAAACTCATTTTTTGGAAAATAAGGGTGATTGTTTGATTTGTAAAAACTCATTTTTATAAATAAAAAATATTATTTACCCTTTCTTCTCAGAATCAATATGGGTTGAATTAATAATTGAATGATATTTAATTTTTGATATCATAAATTAAAAATATTATTTACCAGGATTATAGTTGCTTTTTATTTGAGTCTTGCTTTCTTCGATTTTCTTCTCAAAATATTTCACCTATAAAAAAATAAATAAATAAAAATTTTTATAAATTATAAATATTATTTACCAGGATATAATAGTTGCTTTTTATTTGAGTCTTGCTTTTATAAAAAATAAATAAATACGTAGAGATGATATGACGTAGCGATGACATGACGTCACAATGACGTAGTGAGGACATCGGAAAATTATAATATAGATAATAAATGACAAAATATGAAATTCAGAATAATTGTTCAGATTTAACAACCCGCAAATTTGGCGCCCCCCATAAAAATTTTTTTAGTTGAACCCCCTGAGATTGTAAAGGCTAGCGACGCCCCTAGTAGTCGTTTATATACCATTAAAAATGGAAGATAATCTTTTAGAAATTTATTATCTCACAATAATTTTCTCGATTACTTATCTAACTTCCATCATGTCATCTAAGAGGAAGCTCTAACCACTACATAGTTTTATGATTTGAATTAGGCGTTTATATTATTTTCTTCAAGAATTGTTGATTTGGTTAGGCCTATAAATTTTTCCTTATTAGTCCATTCTATAAAACATTTTCTAAAATGGTAACAAGAGTTAGTACATAACCTTTTGTCAATGTAGGTTGCCAAGAATTATATTATATTATGTGGTTTTTAAAAAAACCATTATCAATTAAGGCATATGTATGAATTAATTAACCTTTTTTATCACTTGTAATTCTTTAGACGTAAAATTTTTTTTATATCAGCAATCGAAAATATTTTATACTGTAATAAATAGATTTTGTATAAAAATATTATTTTTAGAAATGTCTTGTATTGTTTTAATTATTTATAGGCTTAGTTTATTTTGTAGGCATAATATAATAAATGACAAAATTTGAAATTAGAATAATTGTTCAGAGTTAGTAAATTTTTAATCCAAATTGGGGGGGGGGGGTATGGGAGCAAAGCCCCCCATAAATTTTTTTTAGTTAAACCCCCCTGAGATTGTTAAGGCTAGCGACGCCCCTGTGGGAATTATTTAAAGCTCCATGTACTGTCACATGAGAATAGCATTATAAAAAATGTCGTTCATAAATGAATGGAAAAATGTGTGATCATATAACTACTTTCGCAAACTATGCTTGCTCATTTCTTGACCCAAGAATTACGAAAACTTTTTTTTTACTAATATTCTTAAATATTTTTGGTTAGTATAAATTTGGAAAATATTTGATAATTACTCTACTTTTAAATCTATTGATTTAGAAAAGGAGGAGAATAATCAACTAATTTAATGTCTGTTAATATTTAAATGAGCTATAAATATTATAGCACACTCATGGTAATACGTCCTAACTATTAATATTTGCTTCAATTAAACAAGAATTATAATTGTTATTTGAGTTGATATAAATATTTATCCCACATAATAAAAAGTAGACACCATACGTTTATAATATATTAGGTCAAGAACTTTTAAAATTAATAGAGAATATATATGCAAAAATGTCATTTACTATAACAAAAAAGGGAATTGTATGTCTGGACAACGTTAAAATGCTTATATGTGAATTCATGGGATGCTAAAGTTCTAAATTTGCGTAAGGAATATTTTACATAATATGTTATTTTTTCATTTTGTTACTCAATTTGTGTATAAAAATTTGTATTTAATTATTATCTAAGAAAATAAGATAGGTATATTTGTAAATTTTAATTAATAAAATTTAAAAAAAACCTAATTACGATAAATGAAAAATTGTAAAGGTATCTTTTTTAAATTAAAAATATATAATATCCAAAAACAAATGAGGGAAGGGGTGAGGGGATTTTATAAATATAGAATTCCCTAATTAGTAGTATCTCTTAAGATCTAAATGTTTTTAAAATTGTCTGTGATAATATTCTTAAGCAAGAAAATTATGCTTTTGGCAGTTGTGTGTATATTAGATAAAAAAAAATTAAACATTAATTGAAATAAATATTAGTCCTATAAAATCATTAGTGTTGTTAAACGTCGGATTTAAAAATTTAGTCAAAATAATATTATCTAAGCCCAAAATTTGGTAAATATAGAGGACTAAAATTTTCTGCTACCTATAAACTAAATCTTCAGGCTTGCATAATATTATTTTGGTTAAAATCTTAATCGGGCCTTTTTTTTAAATCTACCCAAAACTATTTATTGTCAAACGGTTGAAATTTTTTTTAAAAATATTAAAGTTATATAAAATTAAAATATTTAGCATGAATGAAATTTGTTTTTGACATTTTAAAATAAAAAATACTGTCATTTATTTTATATAATATGCTATATAAAACAAAATTTTTATGTTACATATAAAAGATAAGTGGTGACAGACAACCCACTTTTTATATAATCGACCAGACCTGCTGTATCTTTTTATATTTTAGGGAATGTTATATAAATAGATGCATACAACTATAAAATTTTAGGTAAAAACTATCAAATAAGAAGCTTTAATATATAAATATCAGAGTTGCTAAAGTCCAATTATTTATTTTTTTAGCGCCCTCCTTTTTTTGAAAGTAGCTAAGTAGCGCTCTACTTAGCTACTTTCCAAAAATATAAATTTAACGAAAGTAGAACCATTATTTATATTTATTTATTTCTATAACTCATTTAATAGGTATCAGTTTTCATTGACATTTTATTCAGTATAATTAAACATAAGGTGCAACTTAATTACAAATGGCGATATATAATTACACGTTAAGAGATTGATGTGTACATAATACATTAGGAAGTTAAACAACACCTATTATATTAATCGTAAATATATATATAATCATATCTAACTGTCAAATATAATATATAATATGATAAAATATTACAATAGATTACTTCTTTACTACATTTCCCCCCTACGTTAATAGAGAGATGTCTATATCTCTTCAATCATTCGTTTCGGGGGCTTATGTGTTCGCCCTCGCCTTGGTCTCACACTCTCTCTGATCCCTGTCAGCGATCACGCGCTCCGTCGTATCTGATATCAAACGGTCTCTTAGCTGGTCAGCATGTTTCCGTATTACACGATCTGGGGTCTTGACTACATAGGAATATAATCCCTTTCTATCCTGAATCACCCCTTCTCTCCAACCCTTAGCGGTTTCATTCCTTACCCACACATGCTGACCAACGTCAAATTCCCTAAAATTGGAATGTGTTTCATGTTCTTGATTTTGTTTATCATTGGTTTTATCAATCTCCTTTCCCACCTCTGGTCTAGCCCAGTCTAGATTAGTTCTTATTTGACGACTAAACATAATCTTCGCTGGTGACCTACCCGTCGAACTATGTTCTCCCAGCCTATATGCTGCTACCGTTTGAGTTATCGCCTCTTGCGGGTCATTAATTGATTCTCGACTGGCATAATACATCCCTTTTAAGGTTCGAATGGTTCGTTCCGCCTGCCCATTAGTCTTCGGGTGGTACGGAGTTGAGCGAATGTGGCAAATGTTGTTTTCTTCACAAAATCGCTTAAATTCTATTGATATGAATTGAGGTCCATTATCCGTTACAATGCTTTTAGGTACCCCAAAGGTAGCAAACCACTTCTTTAATCTCGTTATCATCTCCTTCGCCGATGTGTTTCTCATCAGGTCTACCTCAGCCCATTTTGAGTATGAATCTACTCCCACTAGCCAATATAAAGAGTCACCGGTCCCGCAAAATCTAGATGTATACGTTCCCATGGCTCTTTGGTACAATTCCATGAGTATAGTGGTAACTCCATTACGTTCGGTCGATTTTTCTGACATCCAACACACAGCTTTATATACCGTTCTATGTCCTCTTCGCATTTCGGCCACCAACAATACAATCGAAAAATAGATTTCATCGCGTTCATTCCCGGATGTCCCCTATGTAGTGTTTTCAACACTGAATTCCTAAGCTTCGTAGGCATTATCAATCTACCATTTCGTTCAACTATTCCCCTGTCTACTGTTAATTCCTCTCGTTGGGTGTGAAGGATTACTAGCTCCGGTTCTTCTTTCCGATTAAAGCCTCTCCACCCAGTGTCTACATGGCCGGGGTGGGTAGGAGACAAATGCTTCCAAAATATATTGGCATTTTTGGGGGTTGGTATTAATTTTGGGGGTTGATATTAATTTTTTAGGGGTAGGCATTAATTATGGGGGATAGGTATTTATTTTTGAGGGGTAGTCTATCACTTGATTTATATTCTTTTTGAATCCAATAACTTATATGATATGATGTTTATCTAGTGTTGTTAAATGGTTGGTTGTGTAGTGCTCAGACCCGGGGTTTGGGTCTAAAATATCGACTAAACCAGCTCTGAACACGAACCCCGAGCACAGACCCGGGGTTTGTGCTCTGGGTTCAGACCCGAGGATTTTTTAATTATTAGTCCTGCTCCTGCAAAAGCTAGTTAGCTTCGGTTCTCAGCAGGGCATAGAAAATTATAATAAATGTATAGAAAGAGAATATAGAATTCGGTCATTTGATAATATAGAGAGATTAGAAAAAGATACAAATCTTTTGAATTATTGGGAAAATGTAAAGAATAGTATGCCAGAACTTTATAAGTTAGCTATAACTGTGCTAACAGTTCCAGCTATGCAGGTATCCGTAGAAAGAGCATTTTCTAGCCTTAAGTTTATACTCTCTGCGCAGAGAACTAAATTAAATCCTGAAATATTAGAAAATATTTTAGTTATCCGTTCTAATTCTCTTTTTAAAAATAAATAATATAAATTTCATTATATTTATGTGTTATTTTATTCCTCATTGTATTTGCGCATGTTTGTGTTTATCTTATTTATATATAAAATAAAAAAAATTGATTTGTCTAATTTATATTTACTAAGTTTAATAAAAATATCTATTAGATTATCATGGTTAAATTAAATAAGAAATTATAAAAAGATTTTTCTCTAATATTAATATATATGGTTTATTATTAAATTTTTTTTAAATCAAATTTATAAGAACCGGAACAAACCGAAAAGAACCGTTATAAATTATAAACCGAACCGATTTAATTTTTTTCAAAAAAAACCGAAATGGAACAAAACCTTTATAAAATTTTAAACTAAAAACCGTAACGAACCGAACCTCTATACTTAATAGTTCGAAACCCTGTTGAAAAGGGGTCGGCCAAATCGTGATCGATTTAACGAATTTCATTTAAATAATTATATTTATTCAAATAACACATTACATAAATATTATATTTAGAAATATTCATATAATAATTTTATAAAAAATCGGAAGTATTTATTTTTAGTAATTATGTAAAGAAATATTTTCTTTTATAAACAAATTTCTCCCCCCCCCCCCCATTATTTTAGCTTAATATGGCTCATAAAAAGTTAGATAAAATTATAACAAGAAAAATGGGGGGAAAAAAGTTCAAAATTTAAAAAAAAAGAGAAGTATAATTATGAACAATCGAAATTAGGGGGGTTGGTAAATTTAAAAAAATAATAATATTAAAGAACAAGAAAACAAGAGAAATTAGGGTGGGGTGGGGGGAGGAGGGTTGGAAAATTTAAAATAATACTTAGCAAAAATTTTTATTCTTTAAATTTTTTATTTATCCATCATTTTATTTTTTACTTTATCAAAAAATTTTTTCCCATATTTTAAAATAAATAAACAAAAAATTTTTTTTTTGCGATTTTATTTAATGAAAATAAACAATATTTAAATATATTTAGGCAATCGTTTTGTTTACAATACTGAAATTTATTATTAGGAAAAAAGGCAATATTTTTTTGTTTTAAATATTCTAAATTTAATAATTGTAAGCCAAAGCTTATTAAAAACGTTTTAAAAACTTATGACAGCTAGATAATATGATATTAGGCCCTCTGGGCCGCTGGCCAGAAACATTACTTTTTAAAAACTTCCGGCACTAATTTCATAGACCTGCAGAGGTGCCATTTGCACGGCCCGGCCTGGATTTTTTCTCAAATTTTTTTTCGAAAAGGCCTGTCCCGTTTCAGCTTTTTTAAAATAAATTTTCAGGCCTGACTCTATTTTAAAAAATATATTTTCAGACCAGGCCCAGATTTTTTTAAAAATATTATACTTATATTAGATTTATATAGCTAATAATGGCGATTTAAAATATTTGGTTTTAAAATATACGGTCCGCCTCGGATTATTTTTAAAATAAATTTTCAGGCCCGGCCTGGGTTAATTTAAAAAAATTAAAATAGGGGCCAGTGTACTCAGGTCGGGCTGAGCCGGACCAGCAGGTCTCTGACTAATTTATTAGGACCAATAATGGGGAATTATAAAATATATGGAATTATAATTAAACGACCCGAGATAAATTTTTTTATCCCGAAGCTAACTAGCTTTTGCAGGAGCAGGACTAAAAAATCCTCGGGTCTGAACCCCGAGCACAAACCCCGGGTCTGAACCCCGAGCACAAACCCCGGGTCTGTGCTCGGGGTTCGTGCTCATAGCAAGTATTAGCACAAATTTGGGTCGTATATTTTACGACCAAGCAAATTAACAACACTATGTTTATCGTAGATCTTATTCTGACAAATGAATTAAATAGTTATCTATTTATCAACAATTTTTTCTTTTTGAATTTTAAGCCTCTTTATTTATTTATTTACCATATTATTTTGCAATTTCACACTTATAATATTAATATTATGCTTATTTGATAATTTTCTAAAAGTATGGAGGTTAATAATATATATTATATTTTAAATAATATATTTCAGTTTCTATATATCAGTTAAGGATATAATAAATCATTTAAAATTTTAGCAAAATACTTTAAATATTATTATTAAAAATAAGATTTTCAGTAGGTAAACAAATTTTAACTATATTCTTTATTTAATAATTAGCAAACATCCAAAGTTATTGACTATTCCTAGATTATATTTTCTTCTCATTTAATGATCAATCCCAATGGAGAGACCCAAGCAACTCTTCCTTGAATTTTTTTAAAATATTTTTTGCGCATCTCTTTTTCTACAAATAAAAATGACTAAAATTTAAAATATATATAATTTATTTATTTTTCATCGCATCCCAAAAATAATAACATTTCCATATTGTCATCTTTCCTAGAGCGCGTCGATCAGAAAATATAATCTATAATCAAATAATCGTTCAACCCTAGCACTTGAGGGCAATGCAATATTAAATTTAACATATATTTTTTATATAAGAAAAATAAAATCATCAAAAATTGTCATTTGATTTTATAGATTTAAAAAAATGCGTCTAAAAGATTTTAAATAATACTATTTATTCCAAAAAAATCATCCCTTTTTAATGTGTCTAAAATTATAATAGTAATGGTTAAAATAAAAATTATGTAGGGGATAAGTGCCATAAATGGCTATGTTTGCTGACTGGCCAGGTCAACATCCTTTAACATTTTATCTATTTCACTAAAATTGTTTAAAATCTGAAAATAATTTCAATAAGTATTTTTTTAGAATGTTTTTACAAAATCTATTAATAGATATGGTTAATTTTAAACACGTTTAACATCCAGGTAATAATTTATAAAATATTGAGTCTGATGATAAAATGAAAATTTAATATTAATTATTTATTGTAATTTTTAATTTATACTATAGTTCTTGATTAATATCTTATATGTTTGAACTAGGCCTAAAAATATTTTCAAATAAACTCATCTTTCTCAAATATTAAAGATACAGCTTGATTCAAATTTTATTTTAAAATTAAAGATTGAGCTTTACAAATCGATATTAAATTTGTTTGATATTACTTTCATCTCGTTGATGCTACTAGTAGTCATATTTGTGATAAAACCTTCGGTATACCACAAATTTATACCCTATGTTAATTTTTTTATCGAGATTAAAATATTTTGCGAGATCAGGAAAAGAAAATTCTATATCATCATCATTTTCCAGGGAAATTACTTTGTCGATATGATCTGTACCCAAATTTTTTCAATATTAATCTCTTTTGAAAACTAGATTTATAATTGAGATTTTTAAATATATTATTCAAAAAAAAATTATATTATATAAAAAGAATATGATTATAGAATTACATAAATATATTTCATTAATTTTTATGTGTATTCGCTACTTTTCATATTAGTAGCCACCTACTTCTATAGCTATTATTTTTTTCTAAAGTAGCACGATTTAGCTATCGCTACTGAAAAAACACGCTATATTACTTTAACGACACTGATTATAACCAACAAAAAATTAATTGGGGTTTAGCCTAAATAGGCCTGAAAGGATGTAAATAAAATTTTGTTGTCAAATTATAAGTGGTAGCTAAACATAAGATTCTTTTTATCAAAATCACTATAGCATAGGGGTTTAGCGAATATGGTGGCCGAAGGTAGCTGAAAGTTATTTTTTTTTTGGGGGGGGGGGTATGGAATGATTTTTTAGGGGGGTTTGCCTCCATAAAATTTTCTGCCATGTAGACGCTGTCTCCACCCTTGCTCAATATGTTGTGCTACTCGCTTTAGTATTGGATCTTTAATTGAATTCTTGCGCAGGTTTCCCTCCGAGACCTGCATATCCTCTAAGTTTACGTTCCGAATCGCCAATGCATGCTTGGTATCCCGATTAGGTATGATATCGTGGAGCGGTAGCCTGGATAAGGCGTCTGCTATAACATTTTCCCGACCAGATCTATATTCCACGCTAAAGTCGTAAGCGACCATCTTCCAGGCCCAACGTGTCAGACGATTGTTCGATATCTTTGGCAGATCCCTCTTTTCCCCGAACAACCGTTCCAAGGGTTTATAGTCTGTCCGAAGTATAAATTTTCGACCGTAGATAAAGTTGTGGAATTTTTCTATTCCAAATAACAATGCCCTCGCTTCTTTATCGATAGGCGCATAATGTTTCTCCGACTGTAACAACGTCCGAGACGCGAATGCTATGGGTTTTTCTCCGTTTTGTGAAACCTTATGAAGTAAAACAGCCCCCAGTCCTGTATCTGACGCGTCACACTCCATAATCAACGGTAATTTAGCATTATATGGCGTTAAGGTTTCTTCTGTTGATAACAATGTCTTAACTTTATCGAAAGCCTCCTGCTCTACATTAGTCCAACACCATGGTACTTTTACACTAGTCAATCGATGTAACACAGCTGCTTCACTATGAAGATTGGGAATGAACCGTTCATGATACGTGACAAGCCCAAGAAATGAACGTAACTGATAAACATTCTTGGGGTTAGGTGCGGCCTGGATTGCTTTAACTTTATCTTCGCTTGGATGTACCCCATTTTTGTCGATAACGATACCTAAAAACGAAACAGATTCCCGTAGAAATTAAACTTTTTCAAATTTAGCTTTGAGACCTGCTTCCTGCAGCCTATCGAGTACTATTTTTAAATTAGCCAGATGTTCAGCGTCATTTTTGCCGGAGATAATTACATCGTCCAAATACACTCCAGTCATCGGGCATCTTTCAAAACATTGTCCATGTAACGCTGGAAAATAGTTGGTGTGCACGAAAGCCCAAACGGCATCCTTCGGTATCGAAAATATCCTTTATGTGTTGAGATGACCAAATAATCTTGGGACTCTGGCTCAACGGCCATTTGTAGATACGTCCTTTAAATCTATCACCGTAAAACGGTTCCCCCTTGAATCTTAACCAATAAGTCATCCAGCGTAGGAATAACGTGATGATCATATAATAGATGGGGATTTAAACTCACCTTGAAATCTGAGCAAATACGAATCTCGCCATTGTTTTTCCTGACATTTACTGTTGGGGTTGCCCATGGCACCCTAGTTATAGAGGAATCGATGGGCTCCAAAATCTCCGCAGCCACAAGGCGATCAAATACTAGTTCAACCGCTCTGCGTAATGGAAATGGCACTCGACGAGCTGGAAACGATTTTGGAATAGCCGTATCTTTTAATTGGAGTCGCACAGCGAAATTACGTATCAACCCCGGTTTGCTGTAAAAAACAGCTTTAAACTGTTTAGCTAACAAATGCCCCATTACGTCTTCCGTTGGTGACATCCTCGATCCGTGTGAGCATCGATTGTATTCGAACGGCCCATCGGGGCTTCAGCCCGCGGGGGCACCGATTGTATTCGAGCGGCCCATCTGGTCATCATTGGTTTGGTGGCAACTTGAAGTTATTGTTTTTCTATTCGTTTTGAGAACCTGTTGTATGCTTACCTGTCTCGGTAACTCAAACCCATGCTAAAATCCATGGCAACCCAAACAGAGGTAGGTCATTTGACTTTATTATAATAACTGATAAATTGCGAATTTCCTTCCCCACTTGCACACGAACCATGGCTTCACCCATAAGATCCAAAAGTTTATCTCCATAGGCTGCTAATGGGTTTGTGGAAGATGTTAGTGGTTTGCCAATTTTCTCCCAAATATTTAATCCTATAATAGAGGCTTATGCTCGTGTATCATAATCAAAAGTTACACTGTCCATTTATTTTGGCTGTGATCTTTGCCCTTTTATTTAATATCCTTGTCCAGAGATTATTAATTGAATCACTTGAGTGAAAATGTGGTTTCACTGAGTTTAGATTGCGATATACAGGCTTACTACGACAACATGCTGCGAAATGTCCTGTTCTTTGGCACTTAAAACATGTTTTGTCTTTAGCTGGGCATAAATATCTTTCATGCCAGCCGGCACAATTCTCATATTTATTATCGTAAAACTTGTTATTAGGCTTCCTATAATTAATGTCTCTCTTAACACACTCTTGTGAATTAGGCATTTTATGTTTGCAATCTTGCGGTCTGACTCTATTTACCAAGTCTTTCTTGATAGTCATTTCGTTTTGAGCATTTTCTGTTGCCGTGGCCATATCTAGCACGAACTGGAACGTCAGGGGCTTTTTGTTCACATCCAATGCTAAAGGATATTTATTCCTAAGTTCAACTTCAAGACCTGGTAGATCTATACCCGCAACTAATGGATCTCTTAACCGGCCGTCAACTTCTGACGGCGTAAAACAACACACTTTCGCAGTTATTTTGATTCTATTAGCGAACTCTCCAATTGGTTCATACTCATTCCTAATTAACCTTATGAAGTCTAATCTACTACCGAAAATGGTTTTATTCTTATCAAAAATATGTAGCGAGACACTCCTTATCTTATCAAATTTAGTTGTTAGAATGGTTTCAGGAAATAAATAGTGTTCGAGAATGTCAATGCCCTCAGCGCCAAAACTCACCATGAACAGGTCCTTATTTTCTTGATCGGTCGGTGTCCAGTTCTTTAGTCTTAACGTTGCGTCCCAAAATTGGAACCAACGTTGTATAGACCCATTAATTTGATATTTTTCTAACTTATCAATAATACTAGTATTTTTGGACTGAGGCATAATTTAGAAAATTAATAACTATTTTCTTACTTGTTTTAATTAGAATATTAGAATCCACGTAGTCGCCACTTTAACGAAAGTAGAAACATTATTTATATTTATTTATTTCTATAACTCATTTAATAGGTATCAGTTTTCATTGACATTTTATTCAGTATAATTAAACATAAGGTGCAACTTAATTACAAATGGCGATATATAATTACACGTTAAGAGATTGATGTGAACATAATACATTAGGAAGTTAAACAACACCTATTATATTAATCGTAAATATATATATATATAATCATATCGAACTGTCAAATATAATATATAATATGATAAAATATTACAATAGGTTACTTCTTTACTACAATAATTAATGTAACTATAAACATGAAATTAAAAATAATATCATAATAAATCATAATTTATTATTTAATTGAAATTGATTATGTTTTCAATTTGTAATTAATATTTCCAAATTGTATTATAAACCCAAATCATCTGGTGATTATGGGTATCTATATATATAATCCTGAAAAAATGTCAATCAAATTTAGCCAATAGTTTTCTTTTAAATATTATTTGTCCAATCAAAATGATTATAGCAAATTTGATCAATGGTAATCAACGTGAAAACTAATACCTTTATTCACAAATCACTTCCATAAAAACCATAACATATTACTCTATAACCATATCATTACAAAAAAAAAACCCAAAATTCCTTAGACTGTCAAAACTTAGTAGCTGCTCAAACTTCTAATGCTAATCATGGTAATTATTTTTATATAAATATTTAATCATTGAATCAATGTTTAACATTAGCCCCTCTAACTTCCAGTTCTGATGCCATAGCCCATCAAAATGTTACTTCAAATCAAGGTATTTATGATGTTTTTTATTTATAAAATTAACTTATATTTATTAGCTCCACAAATTACAAATTTTACTTCCCCTCTAACTTTAAGTTCTGATGCTATAGCCCATCAAAATGTTACTTCAAATCAAGGTATTTATTATGTTTTTATTTATAAGATTAACTTATATTTATTAGCTTCACAAATTACAAATTTTACTTCACCTCTAACTTCCAGTTCTGATGTCATAGCCCATCAAAATGTTACCTAAAATCTAGGTATTTATGATGTTTTTATTTATAAGATTAACTTATTTTTATTTATATTATTTTTATTTATAAGATTAACTTATTTTTATTAGCTCCACAAATTACAAATTTTACTTCACCTCTAACTTCCAGTTCTGATGCTATAGCCCATCAAAATGTTACATCAAATCAAGGTATTTATGATGTTTCTACATCAAAGTGTTACTTTAAATCTAGGTATTTATGATGTTTTTATTTATAAGATTAACTTATTTTTATTAGCTTCACAAATTACAAATTATACTTCACCTCTAACTTCCAGTTCTGATGCTATAGCCCATCAAAATGTTACTTCAAATCAAGGTATTTATGATGTTTTTATTTATAAGATTAATTTATATTAATTAGCTCGACAAATTACAAATTTTACTTCCCCTCTAACTTCCAGTTATGATGCTATAGCCCATCAAAATGTTACTTCAAATCAAGGTATTTATGATGTTTTTATTTATAAGATTAACTTATATTTATTAGCTCAACAAATTACAAATTTTACTTCCCCTCTTGATGCCGTAGCCCATCAAAATTTTACTTCAAATCAAGGTATTTATGATGTTTTTATTTATAAGATTAACTTATATTTATTAGCTCAACAAATTACAAATTTTACTTCTCCTCTAACTTCCAGTTATGATGCTATAGCCCATCAAAATGTTACTTCAAATCAAGGTATTTATGATGTTTTTATTTATAAGATTAACTTATATTAATTAGCTCAACAAATTACAAATTTTACTTCCCCTCTAACTTCCAGTTATGATGCTATAGCCCATCAAAATGTTACTTCAAATCAAGGTATTTATGATGTTTTTATTTATAAGATTGACTTATATTTATTAGCTCAACAAATTACAAATTTTACTTCCCCTCTTGATGCCGTAGCCCATCAAAATTTTACTTTAAATCAAGGTATTTATGATGTTTTTATTTATAAGATTAACTTATATTTATTAGCTCAACAAATTACAAATTTTACTTCCCCTCTAACTTCCAGTTCTGATGCCATAGCCCATCAAAATGTTACTTCAAATATAGGTATTTATGATTTATTTATAAGATTAACTTATAAATACAAATTACAAATTTTACATTAGCTCCTCAAACTTCTGGTTTTGCCATAGCCTTTCAAACTTTTATCTCAAATCAAAATAATTCAGGTGCTTTTTAAGTTATTAATTCAGATGTTGGAATTGAAAATATCCAATACACAAATTGACAATTACTAAATTATATTTTTAGGTAATGGTGATCTCCCTTTAGAAGTAGCCAATGTGTTAATAGATTTACATCAAAATATTAGTGGTAAAAATGTTTATAAGGCTATTTTTTTTAAATTTATTTTTAAAAAAATTTAAATACAGAATGTCATATATTATAATAACCCTTGATGTTTAATATAGCTAGGCTATTTTTTAATTATTTTTAGGTGTGACCCTAGAATAATTAAAAAATATTAACACATCTCTTGTAAAATAATTAGTTATTTATTTGTTCTATTTTTTTTTAAGTATCAGGTTCTGTCTGATCTTTTCATAAATATTCGATCTCCTTATTAATATATGATTTGCATCAAAATGAAATCCATATATTTGAAAAGCTTAGAACTCACCAGGTTCTAGAGGATATTGTTGCCGAAAATCCTTTAGAAACCAGGCATAGTATTTATAAAAAAAGTTCTAAACAAAAGATTTTTAGAAACTCCAAATATAAATTTGTATCCGGAGGCGATACACTCATATATTTCGATAAAGAGCATAATAGATAGACTATTACAAAAAAATCGGCCTTCTTTGCAGCAATCAATCGAGGAATTGTTCTATCGCCCGAATATATTACCACAAATAGGGGGCATATATTTTTAATTAATAATGATAATAATAATATATTGGTATTTGGTACATGTAGCATGCTAAAACTTATTGAAACATGTGATAATGATACAATATATATGGATGGTACATTTTATGTTGTACCACGACTTTATTACCAGTTATATACCATTCATGTTTTATATCAGCAGACTATGCTACCTTTAGCATATTCACTCCTTCCTGATAAGTCCAGAGCCACGTATATAGAATTATTTCAAATAATTCTAAGATACTGTGGAGAAAATAATATTATTTAATCCTAGATATAGACAGACAGATTATGAGGCCGCTGCAATATCTGCCCTAAGATTTGTTTTCCCTGCAATCGTCATTAATGGTTTATTTATTACATATATTTATTATAATTTTTTATAGGCTGTTTCTTCCATTTTTCCCAAGCCATATGGCCAAAATGTCAGGCATTAGGGTTAACAGTAGAATATAGAGACAATTCTACTGTTCACAAAGTAGTCCACAACTTTGCCCTTTGTCGTGAGGAAGATATCTCTCAAGTTAGAGCCTCGTGTCTTGCTATGTCGCAAGAAAATCCTTTGCTAATTAATTTTATGCAGTATATGCTTTATTTCCTTATAGCATATGAACTAGGTATTAAAA